ATTGTTTACTTAAATACAGAAGAATATTTTACTTTAGTTTGTAAATGAAAAAGGTTCAGGTTTACATCTCGGATTGTTAATCTTGTTGTATTCGTGTTGTTCTTATTTTTTGAGTCCGGACTTTCATCGGCATTATTTTCAACATCAATCTGGATCTTACTTTTAAAGAAGAATGATCGATGTCCTGTCCTCTTAAATATTTAAACAATAGTCAACTTCTAGCCCAACCAGATAGAGACAACTTGATAAATACTCATGAAGCATATACCAACTTCATTTCCTGACTAGATAGCAGTGAAAAGACCGCCAAGATTGACACTGAAAGTTCTACTGAGAAAATCTTAAGTTCAGTGAGTAAAATGCTGTTAGAATCTTAGTTGTTTCCTCAAACATTTAGTTAGTACTCTATTATTATTCCCTTGGGTTCCAAATAGAACATAGGGCTTCAGCAACACATCGCCACTTTGTCCTTTTTTCTGCTGTACTCTTCAACTAGGTCCATGATTGACCAAACTCTGTCATCTCTTCCTCACACGATCTCTGCCATATCACCCTCGCAATGAAGACCCACTCATCGCTTCCTATCTAGATTCCATTCGAGGATGTCATTTGGCGGCCTTCTCAATGTGTGCCCGATCCACCTCCACTTTCTCCTACGTATTTGTTGAGCGATCGGCTCTTGGTTGATTTGTTCCCAGCCATAGTTTCTTGCTGCTTATTCTTTCTGGCCATTTGATCGTCAGTATGAGGCGAAGGCAGCTGTTGATGAAAGTCTGCAACCTGTTTGAAATCCTTTTCATGATGCGCACTCCAAGTTTCTGACCCGAACAGAAGAAGTTACACAACTGACATTTGTGTTGAAAATCTGAACTCTGTTCTTTATGCTGAGTGAGTGAAGCAGAAGATTTCCAAACTGGTTTCAGGTTGATGAAGGTGTATCTTGCCTTTCCGATCTGGTCTGCCTTGACATCTTCATCCGTGCCGTCCGTCTGTGGTTGAAACCGTGTTTCTTAGATAAGTGAAGGAAGTAACCTCTGTCAAATCTCTCCCTTTGATGGTGATGGTGCTGTTTATTTTCGCTGTTGGTTGGTTATCTTCGTCACCTCCATATTTTCTATGTTCAACTGGAGTCCTGTCCTCTCTGGCTGCTTCTTCTGCTAGTTTGTTGGTTTCCCCCTGAAAGTCTTCGAGTCTGTGTGACATCAAACATAATTCATCTGTGAAATCCGAATGTTCTAGAGTCTTATTATCGGTCACCCAGCGTAGTCCTGACTCCTCGCCCCCAACAGTCTGACGCATAATTCAGCCGATCATAATTAGGAATATTATCGGTGAAAATAGGCGGCCTTGTCTTACTTCTGCATTCATTTCGAACTCCTCGCTGAGTCAGTTTTCTGTTGTGTATCACCTGACACGTGGCACTGTCGTATAGCTAGCTGGTGATTGATGTTGACTGATGGTTAATTGATGGTTGACCAATTATCTTGTTATTCAAAAAGAAGAATACAAATTTATCCGTCTGAACTTACACCCAGTCTATTATTCTGAATACAAATAAATAGATCAAGTCTTAAAACTGGCTTTCAAATGTGTGCTTTAAAGCTGCAACTTTTCGTCAAACATTAATGATATTTTTTGGCTAAAATGATACAGACGTCGAAAGAAAAGAGTACACTTCACAATATTCTAGAAACTCGATTCATTTAAAAATCAAATTTTCGAATCATTATAAGACTCGCACTGCAGACAGTCCGTTTTGATCTACCTAGATGTGTTCAATCAAACTAACTGTCTAGTCGTCAAATTCATTTTGAGATCCTACTTAATATGTAAGTAAGTTAAGGGAAAAATGTAGATGAAATATTCATTTGGTTTCTGTAATGATGCTGTCAGCAGACTCACAGAAAACATTCAAGGTAAGTAGCAATAGTGATTTTTATAAAATAAAAACTTGAACTTTATGAATAAAAGTTGTTTCCTATTCCACTGTGATTATTCTTATCACTGATTGTCAGATCACTTTTGTCACTTCAGTTGCTGATCTAATTTATCGAATACAATTTCAACTTCCAGAATTATAAAAGTGTGGAAGACAGTATATCAGTGACACCTTTATAACTTTTGTATCAAACAGAAATTATCCCAGGTATTTTTGTCATCACTTAACAACCTGTTCACCCTTTCTAATTCGATATGATTCAAACTAATATGAAGAAGCGTCAGTGGTTCATTGGCGGAATACTCACCTACCAAGCACTTAGTCGGGGTCTGAGTCCCGACGACTCACTCCTTAACCTTGCTTTGTTGGTATTAAGCCCAACAAAGTGGTTAGGTTGAACATGAGGCTATCAAATCCACCCGTAAAAATAAACACCACTGCTACTGTGACTTCACAGTTCAAGCTTGATGCTCTATGTTCTCCTGGGAATCAAAAGAATAAATTTTAAAAAATAAATAAAAATGCGAAAACCAAACTGAGTAATTAGTACGGTTATAAACTGGCAGTTAAGTGTCACTCATCCCCATGACAGATGAATATAATCCACGATATTTACAGTGAATTGATAACCTAGCTGGCAGTGTGGTTTCGTAGGTCACCCAGCAAGACATAATTTGTACAGTTCAAATCCTGTGGTGACATCGATTTCATTTCCCGTTGTTTAATACAAAATGCTAGTTACTCTGCCATAATTTTGATGGTACCATGAAAACAATATGGAGCCAAAATAATTTACTGACAGCAAGAATGTTCCGTAATATGCTAATATTTCTTCTTGTAATAATATTACTACAGTCAGTAACTGGATGAAAATTTGACATTTAATAGTCGGTAGTTGAATACGGTATTCTTCGATGTGGTGGAGGAAACAGGTTATTATCTTATCCAATCCTTTGTCAAGCAGCTGACCATGAAAGTACTATGTAGCATTAAGCCAATGTGCGATCCGTGGTCATACTATTAGTCAGTACGTGGAATTGTTCTATGAACTTGGGCTGAATGTAAAAATGTACCTGAGGAGTAGTCTCTTTAGATATTTGGTGGGAAGGTAAACTCATAGGTTTTTGGAATTAATATAGTCACATCTGATATACATCATCTTAGTCAGGGGTGTTTTTGGAGTGGGAACTTTTGCCTTTGAAGACAAATTGAAGGCATCAGCCCACTTCGAGCCGATTGCATTGTAGTCATTCTTGAGAATAATATCCTTAGTCTTTGATCGTACAATCTCAACTTTACAGAAAATACGCAGATGATACTGTCATCATTTATAATGAAAGGTGAAACCTAGGGAATCTTCCCAACACTAACACGGCAACCCATCCGTCCAAAAAATTTATTTCAGAGCCGGGACTAAACCTGTCTTTTCCATTCCAAGATACGCTACGTACTGAAAGACAAGAGAGTTATATTTAGAGGTTAATGAGTAGAATACAAAAGCAGTCTATTAACTTCCAGAAGGATGGCCCATTGGTCAGAAAACGAAAATTGGTACGTTTTTTGTGTCCTAGGTCACCAAGTAGACCCTTTTCATCAACCTGGAGTTCATGCGTGACAGTGGATCTGAAATTCTTGAAATCTGTCTCTACAAATAGTTGGAAAAGAATGTTTCACTTGGGTATACCGACAGAACTGCATTCTATATTAAACGATTAGTCGATCCATATGTTAGGGATAGAATACCGTTCCTGACCATCTCAGTGTGTATTTACCAGTTAACTTTTTCCTATATACACAGAGGCAACCCCGCAGGCGTGTTGTGGGACATAGTTTCGTTTAGATAGACATAGAAGAGAAGAAGAATGTCAGTTATCCGGCTCAAGATAACCATTCAAACTCTTGACTTAGGGTGCCTGCACTAAGTGATCCAAAAAGTTTTGCAGTGTTGCAACAGAGAACTTTGAATACACGACTTATAAGCAGGTGGATCAATGCTAACTTGGGAAATGAAGCCTTATTTCTAAGTGGAAAATTAGTATAAGCTTGCTCACTGTAACATGAGCAGAGTTATATTCCCATCGCTGTTTTATTTTTCATTTTGCTATTTGATGTTTAGTTATTTTTATCACCCACTGCAACGTGTTACTTGGATCACTGGGTTACCTAACTTTCCACAGAGCTCAGTGCGTCAAATTTGCTCAGTTACACTTTGTTCTTACCTTCCTAGAGAACAATCAGTACTCACGTGTGTTTTTTGAATGGCTTTTAATATACTTCATGGTCTGTTTTGTAGCGATAAATACATCATTTCACAAATATATCATTTCACATTAAAATTTTACTTAAATACTACGTACTATTCCACTCTCATGTTCATTTTTGTACCTCGCAGTTGATGAGGTCATTTTTAAATTTTTTATGCAGTAACAGTCCTTGTTTCTCAATTTGAGCCACCCGTTCCTTTCTACATGATATCTCACATTATGCAAGACATTTTATAGACCGTAATTACAGATATTCAACCGGCTTTATGAATTCTCAGTTGAATATAAATCCAATTGTACAGCTTTTGAAAATAGCTTACCCAAAATAGAAGTATTCTTTCTTTCAAGTCTTCTTTTCATGACTTTCGACTCTTCCTACTAATCAGGACATCAGTGGTTCATTGGTCGAATGCTTGCCAGTCACTCCTGTGGTACGGGTCTGATTACCTGTAGATGCAATCCTAAACCTCGCCTGTCCAGTAGTAAGCCCAGTTATGGTTCATTCACTCCCCTTACTTTAATAAGCAGTTAGTTCTACTCTTGTTCACTCATTCGTCTTTGTTTCTACTAATTTTTATTGTTGGCTGTTGTAAATATCCACGTACTGTATGCTTGACGATGGCATGAGAACTTTAGAAATACGATAAGTCTGATTTTTTCATATATTTACATCATATAAGCAACAAATTACAAAAAAGGCAACTAAAGTTTTTTACAAAATGATCGTCATATTATAAGAAATGTATGAGATTCTGGAATAGTGTACCGAATATATGTATTACTTTCTCCCTGTAAAAGTAAACATTAATAAAACAGTTTTGAAATTCAAGAAGAGATTGATTAGTCTAATACAACTCCAGTTCAACTGGATAGTGATCACTGACTTGTTTCGCCTGTAACAAAAAAAATATAGTAGAACAATGTAAACAAAAGTAACATCAGAAATATTTTAGCGTTTAGAAATATTTGGATTCTTACGAGTACTGTGTATTAACAAATGCTGATTATTTTGCTGCTATTAATCAATATAACAGTGAATGCAAGGAGTGATTATTGGGATTTATTCTTCTGGGAAATAACTCCTGAAGATCCCGAAGAAAACTATGGTTGATTGGAGCCTCTGGGTAAATACTAAAAGCTGCAGATACCATCTACAAAATCCCCTGTAGCAGTGATTTTTACCGTCCTTTGGAAATGTTCAGCTGCATGTCAGTGTTAGTTGTTTTGTGTGGGCACTTCATTCATCTGCGTGTTATATTTATACTGAACATAAATAACATGTAGTCAAGAAACTTTATTCGAAGAAGTACTATCATTCGTGCAATAGAATCATTGTGATTATTGTCAAACTCATGCTCATAACTGTCTTTTTAAGGAGCTTTAGTCAACCGACAATACTGCAAACGGTTGTCAGATGCAAGTGAGGTTGACTTATTTACACATTTAAAAGTTAATTGTGAATTGATGATAATGCAATAGTAATAATGAAAACTCTGGCTGTAAGCACAAGTATCAACTTATTCAGGTTAAAATTTTAAAGTTTTACTGATATCTTCTAAATAAGTTTTCGCATAAAGTAACACTCATCAAAAAATTATCAGAAATCAAAATAGGCGGGAAACTGTAGAAACGCGATGTCTAAAAAACAGATCTCATTATAGTACTCAAAAGATTAAGTTATTTGAAAAGGAAATAATAGTGTTTCCTAAGAACTAATAATGGCAGTTACTTCATTGTGATTTCATCAACCTTGCCTACTACAGATATTCACAGACATTTTTTCTACTGAAGTACTAATAGGTGCCTTACTGTAAATGGTTTTCTCAGTTCAATTTGAAGCCTTACTATGAAAATAGGCTTAACAATAGCTGATTAAAATCTATATTCACTCTAACAATTACTGATTGTCTGTATGCCTAAGACTAACAATTTGTGAACTAACTTTTGATAAATAATGAGGGCTTGTAATAACGTACACTTCCTCCGACCTTATCTTCACTTATTTGATTTCATTAACTCCAGGCTTAAGCTTCCTTCGTGACAATAAAATCACTGGGAAAATCTGCTGCACTCAGAACAGCAAAAGAGACCCTAATTTTCAACACTAGTGTCAAGTCACTGCTTCTATTTGTTTCAGAGACAACAAGCCATTACAGACTTTCACCAACAGCTTACTTAGATCAGATGGCCAAAGGAGAAGGAAGTCTGGCAAAAAACCAACCATGAACATATTGTCCAACAAATATGCAGAAGGAAATGGTGACGGATAGGAGACCGTTGAGTGACGTTGCGCGCCAGGCCGTCGAGTGGAACCCGAATGAGAAGCAGGGAGTTGGGCGTGGATTCGTGTGTAACGTGGAGGAGACCATGTGAGGAGGAAATGAAAGCCTATGAGCAGTCGTGGAGCTAGCTAAAGAAGACTGCAGAGAACAGAATGAAATAACGATGTGCTGCTGAAGCCGTATGTTCAGTTGGGAACCCAAGCGAATAATAATAATTCACTTTCTTGGTTCTAAGAGAACAATGGGCACACTATTACAGATCGATTTAACGCTGCATTAATGTGAAAACTATGAATTTCAAAAAATTATATTTCGCCTTAGAAATCCTCTCCGCATGCGAAAATTCTCATCTAATTAATCGTTCTCATTTTATTCTATGATATGCATGAATTAGTTCTCTTTTTTAATATATCATTTAACTTTCATTATCAAAGTTAAAAAATCTAGACTAGTCGACTGACATGCAGTTCTAAGTTCCCACTGAAACGTCTGTATCAGGTGTATAACACACGACCTAAGTAACACAGTACTGTATTACCTCTTGGCAAGTGTTTCACATTACACAACAATCTAAAGAACAGCTCAGTGAGTGATTTCTGATACTTGAAATGATAAATCTGACAGTAAATTATTTCAAAACAATTAAATCGTAAAGCAGACCGCAATATTTTTTCAAGTATTTATTTTAAGGCGGAATAATCCAGAATCATTATTCACACATTCATCAACCTGAAACCAATCTGGAAATCTTCGTCACTCAGCATCAACAACAAAATTCGGATTTTCAATTCAAACGTCAAGTCAGTTTTGCTATACGAATCAGAAACTTGGCAGGTCACAAAGAATATTTCCAACAGCCTGTTGCAGACCTTTATCAACAACTGTCTTCGCTCTATACTGAAGATCAGATGGCCGGCCGGAAAGAATCACCAACAAGAAACTATGGGAACAAACAAAACAAGAACCAATCGCTCAACAAATATGCAAGAGAAAGTGGAAATGGATTGGACACTCGCTGAGGAGGCCGCTGGGTGACATCGCGCGTCAGGCCAATGCTCGAGTGGAACCCGAAAGGGAAGCGACGAGTGGGACGTCCAAGAGTGACATGGAGGAGATCGTGTGAAGAGGAGTTGAAACAGTATGGACTAACATGGATGCAAGTGAAAAGTACAGCAGAAGACAGAAGCAAGTGGAGACATGTAGTTGAAGCCCTATGTTCCACTAGGAACCCAAGGGAACAATAATAATAATAATCCAGAATCAAAATAGCCTATAAGACTATTTACTGAGTTCACACAATTCTTACTACAAATACTGCAAATATGTACTCCTACGATCTTTTCCATAAAAATATCTTGTAAGTTCATTGTGATTTTTTATTCTTAGCGTCCTATGTGGAACATAGAGCTTCAGACTATGAAGTTTCATAGAGGTGGTATCGTTTTTACCAGAGGAGCCCGGCCTACCCTCTTTTCCAGGTTTACTACCTGCCAGTAAACCACAGATGATTTGAAAGTGAATCTTTCGGGAGTCGAAGTTGAACTTTTCACATGGCTGATGAGCAAACTACCATTGAACAACTGATTTTATCATAACAATAGTAATAATATTAGTGTGGTAATAGGATGAATGACTAACTAACACTTGCTAAATAAATTTTAAAAAATGAGCAAGTCACTGTGTCTCGTAGAAACATACCAATTTATCATCAATTCGTAGATCACTTGGAAAATGATAAGCTTTTGCACTTCCTTGTTTGACAGCTTGTTTCAATTCTTTCCCATGTATAATTATTCTGCAAATTAAATAATAAAAGTATAAATTCATTTAACATTTCCGGAATAAAATAAATTAAAAATTACTAGATCAAATCTATCAGGAAGTAGCTAATCAGTTGGAAGAATTAATAAAAACCCTAATTTTTGTTGTCATAGTGTTTAAAGAATCTGGAAATACTTTCTAGTAATGTAATAACTTGAATTCCTAGTGTCTGAAACCTAGTACAACATATTTACACAAACTTATATAGACTTACGCGGTAGTATGCCGTTTGGAGTAATTATAAACATAATAGCCCACTTTTTGTCTTACTTGAGACTAATAATTGTTAGGTTGGAGGATTTCATCATGAGCTGACATCGGTTAGAGGACGATTGGAAAACCTGGGAGTACTGGACAACTGTTTCGTCAGCCTAGTTTGGGACTCTTCACAGTACGCACCCACCACAGGGGGTTCCAGTCGAGGACCCTCTGGTTACAAGGCGAGCTCGTTGACCATTAAGCCACTAGGACCGAATCCAATGGCCAACTCATGAACTCCAACTTCCGCAAATTCATGATATGGCGAGACCACTAGGTAATGTCATCGGTGGAGAGTATTTGTCCTCACACCCGACCTGCTGTACGCGACTGGTCATGACTTCCCACTGGAACCCCAGGTAACTACCTTTCTGAATAGGGCCAGTCACTAGTGAGCATCTCATTGATATTCAAGTATTGGTTTGTAGAGATTTGATTGATTGGTTACAGGATTTCATCATGAGCTGACATCGGTTAGACAACCATTGGAAAACCTGGGAGTACTGGACAGCTGTTTCGTCAGCCCAGTTTGGGACTCTTCATCAGTACGTACTCAATATGTATCTAGATTTATACAGTCAGTTAAGTTTTGGCTGGATAGCGCTGACGGTAGCCACTGATGAACAGTAAGTTAAACAACATTTTGCTCATTTGAATTCAATCTCATATACAACAAACCTAGAGAGATTCAGGTCGGACAGCTGATGTTTTCGATTCACCACATGACAACACTTAAAAGGAATATTATGTGTGTCTGCAATATATTCGAATATTCTTAATAATGACACCGTATAGTGTAGCCGAACTCTTAAAGTCCAACACAGCTTCTAACAAAAACAAAAGTTTTCCTATCAGACGTTGTATTCAACCTGATGTGAACGATCATTTTTGTGGCGTCAACAGAGTGGATGCATGTGTACTCAATATGCACAATAATTAAAAATAAAAAAACATAAGATTTGAATAAAGGTAATAAATCTTAATGCCATTTTAATATGATTGGTTAGGGAAGCTATTTTACAAACTTGATTTTCTCTCCATGTTTCTAAACTCAATATTTGATGACTTATTAGGACAAACGATCAAAGTTTTTCATGCCGAAAAATTGAAATATTGTATCATTGAAACTTCAATAAGAAGAATAATGTGCCACGTTTACATGTGCTTACCTATCATAGGCACAATTACCTTTGCCCAAAGTTGTATCATGACGATCTGGAATAGCCCAAACGAATTCTGTGTCTGTACGTAAATGTATCTGTTTCATTTTCTTTTTCGATAGATAACCACAATCCGCGTTCATATCTCCGAGAATAAGAACATTCTGAGGTATAAACAAAAACGGAAAATGGGATTTTTAGCATTTAGGAAATAAAAATAACTCACTTCCATTTAAATTGTCTCTGCAAAAGGTAAATATTCATCCAACAAGCTTTAGTAGTTGAAATCTCGGTAGTATATAAGAAATGGTGACCAACATGTGAACATTTGAATTGAATACAACCAGTTTAGTAGAAAGAAAGCAAGAGATTGAATGTCAACTGTAAGTTGAGTTTCTCTTTACGAAGCAGTGACAACTATCCAAGTATGATTCATACATAGATATTGCTCACATTATACCTGTCTCTGTGATTCTAAAGTCCAAAATGCTTCGTAAGACTGACCTCTGTAGAATAAGTATTAGAGGCATGAAGCACGATCAAATACAGCATACTAAGCATCAGGTAATTACTTTGAACTGACGTTATGTAACAACTTATAAAAGCAAACTCACTGCAATCTATACATTGTGATAAACTGTAACGTGAAAAAGACTTTAAATAATATCAGTTTTAAAACCCTAGAAGGTAACAGGACGCATAAAACAACATGCAGATAGTGAATACAATCTTGTTTCCTTTACTTCTTGTCACTGTAATTAGTTTGTACACCTCCAGTCAGCCTACAAGGATCCATTAAATTAGATATAATAGTTATCGACCGACTAAATCAATGAATAACTAATAGGTTGAATAAGTCTATACTCTGTTGGAAAATTGAGTCTGTTTCGGAATATAGGCTACCAATGGGTTGATGTATCTTGTCTACTAGAACGCTAAACTCACTACCTCGTAATATTTTGTGACTTAGCTTAGCAACTGTAATTCGACAGTTAACACAAAACAAAAAATAAGTTGCAACCGAGTTACATGAATTCAGAATTGAATTTCATAAACAAGAGGTCAACTGAAAGAAACACATCCTAACAATAATCCATCTAACTGTTGTGCAAAAGGAAGTAAGTTTTGAGACTAAAAACGAGTCCAGAAGCTCGTAGATCAGGTGATAGAGTACCGAGTTAGTAATCCTAAGGTCGCTGTTTTGAATCCTGCTGCAACTGAGATTTTCATTTTACCTTCAATTGTTACCTATTCAGTCAAAACGTATTTCTGTTTCTCGAGCCATCTTAGTGGCAGACTGTTTTCACTTACAGGAAATGATTATAATAATCTTCTGAATATTTATCAGCAACGTTTTATAGATAAGAATATACAGTCAAAACCTATGAATTGTGACTTAACATTGGTAACTACGAAAGTACTGTACATGAGCTTGGAATTCAAAGGTGACTTAGCTTCCGATATCAATAAAAGAAGGATCTCACAGTCCCTGAAAAGGATATTCCCTGATGCATCGTTGAGAATAGCGTTTTCCAGACGACCTTTACTGTTCAATAACCTGAAGGACAAGATCCCGCAGTTGACCAACTCTATGTGCGTTTATCAATTCACCTGCTCGTGTGGAGCTAGGTATACTGGTCGTTCGACTCGAGTTTTGTCCAAGAGGGTGCAAGAACACTATCCTGCATGGTTACGAAGAGGTGGAAGTGGAGCAATAAGAAGCGCGATCATTAAACATCTGGTCGATAATGATCACCCTATCTCTACAGCCTCCACCTTTAAAGTCATCTACAAGGCGAAAAGTAATTTACCCAAATCACTAATTATCCAACTCATCTGTATTTCTGAAGCTTTGTCCATCGAAACAGAAAAGCTAGATCTCTGTGTACAGAAGAAGTTCGTTCAACCCCTCCAACTTTCATGGTCTTAATCCCTCTATGCTAAAGTATGGTAATCCCTAATCATATTTCGGCTCTACATATTTTCCGTTTTTTTATGTAATTTGCGTACTTTTCCTTTATTACTCCAATTGTTACTACGATTATTATTCTCACTTTGAATTGTCCCCGGTATTATTTCGCTTGTTTCACTTGTCATTCTAAATCAATTCTGTTTTGCAACGTTAAATTCTGTGTTATCAAATTCCAGACAATGTTATGTAACGTTTCTTTTTATTCTATTTACCTACTAATCCTATAGTTTGACACCCTTCCCAAGTTCTATACATCCTATAAATTGTTCTGTATATGATATTAGTTGTTTTGCCACTTCACATTGAACTATGTATGATTATAATCGCAAATATTTTAATTGCATTTCACACTACCATTATTATTTATTTATTTCATTCCCTTTCCGGATATAATTTCTTAAAAACCATATTTATATACGATTGTACAGCTTGATAATGAATTCGTTGAATCACTTGTTTCGATTTCCCATATGTCTCAATGAGAATTTTCCATGAATTTATCAAAGAGGCAGGAAGAGAACTATTACTTAAATGATCTATTCAAAGACAGAGTGAGTCATTCTGGTAAACATATAGTTCCGTTAGGATATTCAGTGATGATATTGAACCTGATATCATTATGCAAGTAGAAGAGTAAATGAGGTATACAAAAGAAAACAGAGAAACAATTCACCTAAGATGCCCATATTTTAGGTTAGCACTATTATATAATTAACAAAATTAGTGAATTTAGAACGTAGTTAAATCACTAACCTGTGTACGCCAGACTTTGATAATATTCTTAACAAAAGTGTATAGATTATTTACTTCTTCAAAGACACTATCTGGATCCAAATGTACTACAACTAAAGCGAACATTGAAATCGCTGAAACGATGATAATAATCAATAAAATAATAATTATAAACATGTTTCTGTTAGATATACCTGAACTAGTTGTATGTACTTCTACAGCCATTGGTGGTCTCTCAAATAGATTCTCTTTATTGTGAAATGTTACCATCTTTCCAATTGTGATTAAATTCGGTCTAAAACGGAAAAAAGATATACTGGCATAAAGATAAAACTATATAACAAAAAACATAAATACCAAGGTGGATTTCACCACGAATTGAAACCAATGAAATCCTCATAAACCAAGCACGTAAATATTTGTACTTATTATAATCTACTGTAGAATTCATGAAGATTTTCATCCTTGAATTGATTCCTCCCGTTTGACAAGCACTGGTTAAATAAACACTGGAAATCAGGTTGAACTGGATAGTCATTCAGCTAGATTCTTGTAAATCTCCTGCAATATGAATCTACAACCTCATACAACAACAACAAACCTGAGATGCTCACTAGCGACTGGCCCTATTCAGGTAGGTAGTTACCTGGAGTTCTAGTGAGAAGTCGTGACCATTAGGGTGCAGCAGGTCGGGTGTAAGGACAAATACTCGCCGAAGACATTGGCTAGGGGTCGCGCTATGTCGTGAATTGGCAGAAGTTAGAATTCATGGGCTGGCCATTGGGTCGGGTCCCAGTGGCTTAATGGTATACGAGCTCGCCTTGTAACCAGAAGGTCCTGGGTTCGAATCCCGCAGTGTGGGTGCGTACTGCTGAAGAGTCCCGAACTAGGCTGACGAAACAGTTGTCCAGTACTCCCAGGTTTTCCAATGGTTCTCTAACTAATGTCAGCTCATGATGAAATCCTGTAACCAATCAAATCCCTACAAACCAACACTTGAAAACCTGAAATTATTCGGTATCATATCAAACCCTTCGTTTCTCTGACAGTAGATTCATTCACAATCGCTTGTGTTTTTAAACTGCCTGAAGTAACAGAAATGAAGAAATGTATAACAGTGAACTTCAGCCGAGTGAATGAATGGTCATTTTCTTATCATTAGATATGATGGTTACGAACTCGATCATTCTCACTGTCATTAATGTGTACTACTCAGAAGTCATCACTTCCACTGGTTTTTTTATTCCTTCACGTTCCCAGTGGAACATAGGGCTTCAAGCTAGAGGCTTGAAGTTTCTGTAGCAGTGTTTATTTTTACAGGATGGGGTTGCTAGCCTCATGCCCAACCTTCCCTCTTTGCCAGTTCTATACTGACTTAGCGAGGTAAAGGAGTGTGTCGACCGGGTCGAACCCGGACCATGTGCATGGTTGGCGAGCGTCTTACCGCTGTGCCACCACCTCACTGGTTCCCTAAGTAATTTTACTGGTCTGTTAACCTTACAACTAACAGCTGCTTTTACTTTATCATTAATATTTATTCTTTGCGTTCCAAATGGAATATATGGCTTTAGCAGCACATCTCCATTGTTGTCAGTTCTTTACCGTCACTTTTAACTAGCTCCACAACTACCTAGCTCTTATTGTATGATGTTGATTAATCGTAGAATGAATAATAAATTACAACTGTATTAGTATGGAATAGTTTCAGTCATCTAAATTAGTCGGGAACACTTTGAAACAACGTAAAATAAGAAGCATGAGAATACATAGAAACAGATCAAAACTTCTAAAGCTCAGAAACATTTCAGTCAATAAATCAATTAAATCAATAAAACACCTTTATATAAGAACTAAATAAAATTAGCGCTATCAAAATTTTAGTTAACTTTAAAGCTTGTGCGTCGGTGGCATAGCGGTTAGGACGCTCGCCAACCATGCACATGGTCCGGGGTTCGATCCCCGGCCGACGCACTCCTTTACCTCGCTAAGCCAGAAATAATGCTGGTAAAGAGGAAAGGTTGGGCATGAGGCTAGCAACCCCATCCTGTAAAATAAACACTGCTACAGAAACTTCAAGCCTCTAGCTTGAAGCCCTATGTTCCACTGGGGAAAGGAAAAAACAATAGCTAGAATAAACATTAAAGAAAAGGATAGATGAACAACTATTTATTCAGTGAAGTTAAACACTAACGATTCCAGTGTGGGTTCGTAGGGATTTAATTGATTGATTACAGGATTTCATCATGAGCTGAAATCCGCAAGAGAACGATTGGACAATGTGGGAGTACTAAACAGCTGTTTCGTCCTAGTTTGGGGCTCTTCATCAGTATGCATCCACCACATAGGGTGCGAACCCAAGACCTTCTGGTCACAAGGCTAGCGAGCTCGTAGACCATTAAGCCACTGGGAACAAATCCAATGACCAACCCAATAATTCCAACTTCTGCCAATTCATGAGATAGCACGACCTTAACCTTAAAACCACCAATAACTCTGGAAAGGCATATTTAGCAGGGAAAATAGTATACTTAATAATGTTCAGAAAAGTACAGGAATGAACAGGATATCGTTCAGTGACATGTTGCAAAAATTAAATCACAATTTTTCATTAGAGTGTCGATACAAACGCAGAAACATATCTTAAGTATATATTCATCTAAACGTCTGTAGACAATATCCTTTCAGGATCTGTTAATATCAAGTATTCTCCTTTGTAGGCACCCAGAAATCCTCTATGAAATTATTGTATTTCAGGATAAAGTCTGCTTAGTAAATCTACAAAACTACTCATCATTCATTAATGTAAATCTTGATTTTAAACTGTAACTACTTTGTTATCTAAAAAAATCTTTTATTTATTATTCCCTTGGGTTCCGAGTGGAACATAGAGCTTCAACAGCACAGCCCTCTTGAACTCGTCGCAAAATTTTATCATAGACTCTCATCTCCTTCTCACACGATCTCCTCCAGAATCACCCTGGGACGCCCAACTCGTTGTTTCGCATAGCAACTCTTACTGATTGTTCAGATGTTGGTGATACGAATATTCGTTTAACTTCACTATCTATTCTCAGCTCGTAACTTTTTAGTGGTGCGTATTCACAAATCCTTGAAGAATCTTGTCTAGGACCGTCAACTTCTCAGATAAACACTTTATTCAGAGAGTGGATCGTAATCTACTAGCCCACGATCTTCCAGTACCGACTAAGTAGTCTAAACAACATGTTATCCGAAAACTAGTCATTACGATATCCATAATACCCAAGCTATACCACTGTCCTAGAAAGAATTTTAATAAAGCTTTATAATAAGGTAGAATCCTCCAATCCTAATGATTTACACACATATTGGTCATATCTTCATCAATATCCTTCACAGTGAGTTACTTTTTATCAGTAAACATCAAAATGGAAAAGAAATTATGTATAGAGTTGAAAAACTCACTTATAAATTACACCATATTGTTCTTTTGAATTTGTTCGACCTAATTTCTCACTTATTACAAACTTGTAATTTCCATTAGTATATCTAAAAGGAAATGGATGATTATAATAATTCCAACCAATCAGAATCACTCTTTCACTAACCTGTTTAATTCATCTACAAGATGTCTGAATGCTGTATTCTTAGCATCACGAATTTCTTGCACTACAATTAAATCATATCGGGATAATATCTTTATAATAAAAAAAAATTTATTTCACTTATTTCAAAATAATATATTATTTACAAACCTTAACGAGTATTGATAAAACATCCTTTTTAGAAACTTTATTCTGTCCAAACACTTGTATGTTAAATGATCCAATTTTAATGCATTCAATATTGATAATTGAACAAGAGAATAAAAGTAGTATGATAACATACATTGAAATAATCTATAATGCCTACAAATTGTTTTCACTTACAAGTTGAATATCCTTTTTATCAATTTGCGGAATTTAATACACGTTAGAGAATATTATTGGACAATAGTATGTGTCTGTAATAAGCCTGTCTTCCATATAGACCAGTAACTTTGTATTAATTCACTTATACACACAACATAGACAAACAAAGACAGGAAGGCAGCTGATAAGTGAAATGAAATTAGAAATACTAGAATAGTTGTTCGGCTATCGTTAATACATGTTTCGAAATACAGATTTTATAGAGAGAAAATTCAAAAGAATAGTTTACAATGTGGAAATCTAACGACAACCAGCCACATAAAACATATTTCGTCCTTATTCACACTGGTGGGAGACAGTCAGCTGATGTGGATTGAGCACATGATTCTATAACAATGACAACTAGTGTGTTGTAGAGATTATGTTTCGTTTTACAAAGAACTGGTGTATATCTTTTTTTAAAATGAAAATTACGACAAAAACAGAAACATTTCATTGGATTGCTAGTTTTAGAGTCCTACTTCCTGTGTGTGTGTGCTGTACTGCTCACATTGTCGTAAAAAAATCTCAAGGTTATATTATGTTTCAAAAATGTATGTAGTATTCATTCTCCTAGGGTTAAGTGACATATATAACAAGCTTTTCAGTGCCTAATACCCCATAGTTATAACCACGTTAACAGTCACTAACAGGACATATGTGAAATGCTGAACGAACGTCAGATTTAACCTAATAGGCATCAGATTAACATTATGAAATTAAATTGTTCCTTTACTCTAGTAGATTGGCAAATCTATTCAACATTAATCTTTAATTTCTTAAATGTCACTAACAACCTGTGTGTTGCTTTCATTGGACACCAGCAACTAGTGTGATGTGTCTAGTCCCATCTTAGGTTCAAACTGAATTCTGTCAGTCAGGTTTACAATGTAGCCACCATTCTAGGTAACGCCTCTGACTGCAGTGGGTTTGAATCTCAGAAGGGACATGAGTTCCTTCAAGGTTGCAGATCCGCCTTACTGACTGGTGAGTGCCAACTAGCACGAAGCCTAGGTCGAAGGCTTCCTGACGATAGCCTCCAACCATCTAACATCAACCTGTGTGCTGGGAAGATTGTCACAGTAAAAGTAATATGCTTCGAAAGTACAATTTATTTGCTGTAGAATTATTATTATTATTATTTCCTTTAATTCCTAGAGGAACATAGGGCTTCAGCCGTGCGTCTCCATTGCGTTCGGTTCTCTGCTAGAGTCTTCACCTGGCTCCAAGTCTGCCCACATGCTTTCATCTCCTCTTCACATGACCTCCTCCAAGTCACCCTGGCATTGACGACCAACTCGCCGCTTCCCTTTCGGGTTCCACTCGAGCAATGGCTTGTCTAGTGATGTCACATGATGGTTTCCTCAGAGTATGGCCAGCCAATTCATCTCCATTTCTTCCTGCCTATTTGTTTCACAATCGGTTCCTGGTTGGTTCGCTACCAGAGATCCATCCCTGTTGCTGTTCTTTTGTGGCCGGTCATCTGATCTTGAGTATTGAGCGAAGACAACTGTTAATGAAGGTCTGTAGTTTGTTTGAGATGCTTTTTATGATGCGCCAAGTTTTTGATCCGTATGGTAGCAATGACTTCGCATTGGAGTTGAAAATCCGGATCTTATTTTTGATGTTGAGTGCTGTTGACCTCCATACAGACTTGAGAGTAGTGAAAGCTTTTCTTGCTTTTCCGATTCTTGCTTTGATATCCTCGTCAGTTCCACCTGTAGTTGAAACGATGCTTCCCAGGTAGGTAAGTAAAAGAGGTTGTTTCTTTCAGGTTCCTCCCATTTATGCTGATTGTTGTCTGTTGTTGTTGTTCTTGTCCAGGAATCTTCATCACCTACATCTGTTTTCTCTATGTTCACCTGAAATCCTATCTTCCCTAGATGCTTCTTCTGCCAATTTGTTGCTTTTCGCTTGCATATCTTCCAGTTTGTGGGAAATCAGACATATATCATCGGCGAATTCCAGATCCATCAAGTTTTTGTGTGAGTCCATTTTATGCCTGTTTCCTCATTGCCCGCTGTCTGTCGCATTATACAGTCTACTGCAATCAGGAAAATCATTGGCGATAGTAGACAGCCAGCTTGTCTTACTCCTGTCCTCACTTCGAAGGGTTCCGTAAGTTTCCCGTTGTGGATTACTTGGCATGCAGCATTGTCGTACAGCTGTTGGATGAGATGTATAATTGTCGGTGGCACCCCATAGTAGCGTAGTAGTTTCCAAATCACCTCTCGATCGACATTGTCGAATGCCTTTTCAAAGTCGATGAACTTGAGATAGAGAGGTGACTGCCACTCCAAGCTTTGTTCAATGATGATGCGTAATGTGGCGATCTGATCAATGCATGACTTGTTTCTCCTGAATCCAGCCTGTTCCGGTCGAAGCAGAATTATACACCTAAGTAATTTCACACAACTTTAGGTGGGATTATTTTAGGAGAAAATGCGTATCATAGTGACAAGAGCAAATTTTAACCATTTCCGCTGACTGTTTTAGAATGTTTCTGTAAACGTTCCCAATAGAGTGGCAACATTGTTTCAACTACAGGCAACACAGATGAGGATGTCAAGGTCAGGATCAGGAAAGCAGGATAGACCTTCATTACTGTGAAATCACTGTAGAAATCTACTGCAGTCAAAATGAGGAACAAGATTCAGATTGCGAATACTAATATGAGATTAGTCCTTCTATATTGTTCAAAGATTCCGTGCATCACGAAAAGCGTTTTCAACAGGCTACCGCAGACGTTTTTCAACAGCCGCCTACGCTCAATACTGAAAACCACATGGTTGACGGGAAAGAATAAACAACAAGAAATTTAGACAACAAACCAAATATAACAAATATGCAGAGGGAAATGGAGATGTATTGGACATACGTTGAAGAGGCCAAGTTTACTGATGGAACCTAAATGGGAAACAGCCAGTTTGGCGTAAGTCCCAGCTTGACATGGAGGAGATCAGGTGAAGAGGAAATTGAAGCTTGTGGGCAGTCGTAGAGCCAGCCAGAGGAAAACTGCAGAGAGTGGAGCGAAATGACAATGTGCTGTTGAAGCCCTATGCTCCACTTGGAATCTAAGAGAAGAGCAATAATATAATACTGAGATTTTAACACTTTCACATGAGTAGAAATTCTGATAAGCCACAGTTCTTAGGCAAAAGAAAGAATGAAATACATTTCAGCTGAATGTATAGAATATTCAAAGGGTATGATAAAGTACTATAATTAAAAAAGAGGAAGCAGGTAGAATAAACTACAGCTACACAGCAATATGAAACATATCTCTACTAGAAGTGCTCTATCAGTCCGAGTTCTCTAACTTCAGTATTTCCCTCTCTTCTACATCCCTTCAAGACAATGTGTTATCTGTTGAATTTTTAATTTAAGTGACCAATAAATTCCTGTGAAGCTTATTTACCACTATTGTTAACCAGCTATAATTTCGGTTAATTACCAGTGTTGCCAGACCTTCTATTTGTGCATAAAGTACGTATGAAGCCCTACGAGTGTAGGTAAACATTAGTCTGTGCCACTGCATCACATTATTCCACAGGGGCCTACCTCTGCAACCAACTTTTTCTGTTTCCAACTTCAAGAACTGATACTCATGTTGCAGTTCAGTGAATAACACGTATTGGTAATTCTCTTTTCTGTTGGATTACTACGATAAACATTTCTAAGTTGAAAACACTTCTTTCCTGATATAAATACAAACTGAGCAATGGAAATTTTCAAACTGAGATTTAAATACGTTCTAAAATGGATAAAGTCACGAATCTGCGTATAATGATTTTGAGTGAAATATGACATAAAATAAAAGATAAAGCATTGATTGAGCTTATCAGTCTGAATTTCAAGTCATAGAGATTTGTGAATCAGGTGGATGACTGCGGTATTGTCATATTCCCTGATCTGGGTGAATTAATTGTGAAGCTTTGATTGTTCTTCTCGACAACATCTTCAGTGCTAACTAAACTTTGGTAGTTCTGGTTAGATGACTTTGAAACTCATTAATATTAAGTTATTGCCTTCAAATATATGCAGGTTCTCAGGATTTAATCATGAGCTGAAATCGGTTAGAGAACGATTGGAGAACCTGGGAGTACTGGACATCTGATTCATGCTAGTTTGGAACTCTTCATGAGTACGCACCCACTGAGGTTCGAACCCAGGACCTTTTGGTCACAAGGCGAGCTCGTAGACCATTAAGCCACTGGGACCCGATCCTATGGCCTAAGGATTCCAACTACAGTCAATTCACGATATGGCGCGACCACTAGGTAATATCATCGGTGATTATTTGCCCTCACACCCGACCTGCTGTATCCCACTGGTCACGAATTCCCACTAGAACCCAGGTAACTACCTACCTGAATAGGGCCAGTCACTAGTTAGCATCAGAACCTCAGTGGGTGCGTACCGACGAAGAGTCCCAAACTAGGACGAAACAGCTGTCCAGTACTCCTAGGTTTTCCAATCGTTCTCTAACCGATATCAGTTCATGATGAAATCCTTAAACCAATCAAATTCCTACAAACCAATACTTGATTATGCTGGTTCTATTTAATCTTGATGCCATATACTACTGATTGATTGATGTGAGTAGTTGGATGCCTCACACACTCACACTACTGAAAAAGTTGACAGTACTGATAATTGGCAGTTACCTTTGCAGATAGTTTATTCATTCATAATAACTATCACTTCATTCTGCAGAAGTTCTGCGGCTAGAATTTCTGAAGTAGTACTAAACGTAAGTAAAATCACGTAGTTTAAGGTTCTATACATCATTATTAGTGACAATTAACTTAAGCATCGACAATAATTATTTGAAATAAGCATTAAGATATACCAAGAGCAAACCTTACACAAGAAAATATTCATTCATATATGTGCTCTCAGTATCGAATAGACTTGAAGCTGTTTCCTCCCTCTACATA